GCCGAGGCCCGCCGTGGCCGCTCTGCCCCAGCAGCCCCTGCTCCCCCCCCGCGGATCCCATGTGGGGGGGCCCCGAGATGACTCGAAGTTTCTTGGTGGCTGCCTGGGTTCTCCTGGGAGGCTCCTCGGGGGCCTCTCGGAGCCATGCGCTGGGGCCTCTTGGGGCCGCCGTGACCACTCCGTCCGAGATGACTCGAAGTTTCTTGGTGGCTTCTTGGGTTCTCCTGGGAGGCTCCTCGGGGGCCTCTCGGAGCCATGCGTTGGGGCCTCTTGTCGGGGAAACGCAAGACCCGAGTAAGCCGGAACTCGGGTTGCCGACTTTTTTTTGACGAGCGCGTCTTGGATTTTGACGGTCCAGTTTTCGTGGGATGTTTGCAGCGGGAGCTCGCGTCAAATTTCAGATTGGGCCTCGTCATTTTTATGATGGCCCCGTCGGGCAACCCGAGTCCCCCGTACCCGAGTCCACTCCGATCTTGGGGCCGCCGTGGCCACTCCGTCCCAGCGGGCGTCGGGCCGTCCGCAGCGACGCCTTCCAGCGGGCCCCTGCGGAGGGGCGGAGGGGCGCGGGGCGCTGGGGGGCGGGCCGCGCGGCGGCTGCTGCGGTGCTCGGGGCGCGCCCGCGCAGCTCGGCGCCGGTGTGGCCAGGGCGCTGCGTGCTGCTGCTGCCGCGTGTGCTGGTCGCCACCCTGTATTCGTTCAAGGACAGCCTTTCTTATCGTCATGATCATCATGATCTGAGCGGGTTCCTCCCTCTTTCCCCCCCGCGCTCTGTCCTTTCTCACCCTCGTGCCTCAATTCGCTCGCGGTGCACCCCACGGCCTGCCGACGGGTGTTTGACTGTCTTGGACCACTTGGCGTCCGCGGATTGAAAAGTGTGGATCGCCACGGTGGCCGTCGACGTCGGCGTCTGCGGCGTTGGCGTTGTCGCCCTCGTCCTCGTCCTCGTCCCCCGGTCATACTTATAGGTCCCCCCCCGCGAGAGGCAGCGGCTCTCCTCCTCCTCCTCCTCCTCCTCCTCCTCCTCCTCCTCCTCCTCCTCCTCCTCTTCCTTCGCCTCCTCCTCCTCCTCTTAACCAGTACTGTTTGCCCGTCTCCGAGTGACCAGGCCCCCACAGGTTTCAGTGGCCTGTGGGTGGCTTAGCCTCCTCCACCTCCTCCTCCACGTATGCATCAGAGGCCGCCCCCCCCCGCCGCGGCCGCCTCCTCGCCCGCTCGGCGCGATACCAGATGGAGCTGTATCCATAGACGCCTCCTCCTGTCAATACCTTCTCCTTCCTTCCTCCTCCTCCTCCTCATCCTCCTCCTCCTCCTCCTCCTCCTCCTCCTCTCCTCCTCCTCCTCCTCTTTCCTCCTCCTTTCCTCCTTCCTCCTCCCTTCCCTTCCTCCTCCCCCTCCTCCTCCCCCTCCCTCCTCCTCCTCCTCCTCCTCCTCCCTCCTTCTCCTCCTCATCCTCCCCCTCCCCCTTCCCCTTCCCCTCCTCCTCCTCCTCCTCCCCCTCCTTTTTGCTCATCCCAGTGTCGCGGGGGGCACGGGGCTGTCGAAGCCGCGCCCTCTCTGCGCTCCCGGATCGCCGCCCCCTCGGCAAAGTGTGCCTTTGTTACCTCCCGCCGCCAGTCAGGCGCACCCGCTCAGAGGGCGGAGGGACTTCTCAGAAACCGTCAGTCCGAGGCGGGAATTTATCCATATCCACCGCCTGGAGAGTCGGTGTTCGGAATCCATATCCGCCGCCCTCTGGGGCACCAGGACGTCGGTTCCCAGGCGGTGGATATGGATAAATCCCAGCCTCGCACTCAGGCCTTCTGAGAAGTTTCCTCCAGAGGAGCAAGAAGGCATGAACAAGATACGTTCCAGGATGTCCCTGATTTTCGGAAGCTCCGATTGTTCCATACGAGCTGCAGAAACGAGGGGCCCGCTAGATATTCTCGGACATCTTGGACGCATCCTGAGCCAAGAATTTGATCATGGGATTTTTCCCGTCCTATTCCTGCATCTACGGAGAAGGCTTAGGAAACATCTTTTCCGAAGGCCCGCCCCTGGTCATCCTCCCCCCGGGCTCGCCGCCAGTTTTTACATCACGCCATCAAGCCTCTGAAGCTGTCGGTGCTCCCTGCAGGTGGGAGCGCGTGGACGACCACGCGGGCTACACCTTCCCGCGCGACGCCCTGCTGCCCCTGCAGCAGGGCTCTTTCGTGGGCTCCCCCATTCTCCTGCCCGCCAGGCGGACGGGGGGAGAGGGGTGGAGAGAGGGTGGGATCGAGAGGAAAGACTCACGGGGGCAGGCAGCCGAGGAGGGGATCGAGGCAGAAGGGAGGAGGGAGGGAGGCCGTCCAGGCTGTCGCGGGCTCGCCCATCCTCCTGCCCGCCAGGCGGAAGGGGGGGGTGGGGGCCGATCGTTCAAGGTTGAGGCAGGCGCCGAAGGCGGCACGACACGAACCTGCCGTAGTGGGGGGAGGCAGTCCAGGAAGGGATCGAGGCGGAAAGGGGGGAGGGATAGAGGCGGCCCAGGGAGGGAAGCTCGGGAGGGTAGTAGGCAGGGCGGGAGTCGAGGGAGGGAATGAATTGGATTGGACTCGGATCTGGCGCTGGGTCCGAGTCTAGGACCGACAGGACAAGTACTCGAAGAACCCGAAGCACCATGAACATAAGCTGTTGGCGCTCCGCGCGGATTTCCTGGATCCGCGTGTGCTCCCCCGGCGGCGCCTCCGGCGCCGCCCCTGGCGCGCTCCGCGCGCCAGGGAGTCGGGTACAGCGCAGATCTAAGACATCTGCGCGGACCGTCGAAAGTTTCTGTCCGTGCCGTCGTTTCTTCTTCTGGCCCAGCCTGCTGGGGGGTCCCACCGCTGCGGGGGCCCGCAGGGGCTGGGCCCGACGACGGGCGAGGGAGGCAGGAAGGAAGGGAGGCGGGGGGGGGAGGAGAAGCCCTCCCCGCCCGCAGCCTCCGGACTGCCAGGCCCCGCGAGTTCCTCAGCTGGGAGTACGGCAGCTGCCTCGACGCCCACGTCTGGCCGTGGGGCCTGCTGCTGTACACGCCGGCCCTCTGGACCGCGCACCTCGCGAGCGCCGTGCAGGGCCTGGCGCTGGTGTCGGGGCCGAGCACGTCGAGGTCTTAGGATGCGACCCCTTGGTTGAGAGGGGGAGGAGGAGGAGGAGGAGGAGGAGGAGGAGGAGGAGGAGGAGGAGGAGGAGGAAAAGAAGGAGGAGGAGGAGGAGGAGCAGGAGGAGGAGGAGCAGGAAAAGGAGGAGGAGGAGGAGGAGGAGGAGGAGGAGGAGGAGGAGGAGGAGGAGGAGGAGGAGGAGGGGGGGAGAAGGAGAGCATTGGCGGTGGTAGACCCGAAGAGGAAAAACATCCTACGCATAAGTCCCCAATCAGTGCTTGCACTGAAGGGGTCCTAGCGGAAATTGAAAGAACTGGCGCACGCTCCCCGCCGATTTTGGTAGCCAGCTGGGTTCCCGGGTTCCCAGTTCCGGGTTCCCTGGTTCCTGGTTATTGATTCCAGGCCGATTTCGGTGGGTTCCCGGGTTTCTGGGTTCCCGGTCGATCTCCTTATCGATCTTTTTATCGATCCCACGATTCATCAAACCATCCACTGATTGGGTTTTTCTTGGGTGTAATTGATATGTTGATGGTCCGCGCGGACCGTCAAACGTTCATGTTGATGCCAGGGGCCGAAACCGAAGGAAAGTCATTCATTTGTACCTTCTCGCCGGGGCCCTCTTGGACGCTCCGATCGGTCGCGCTGCGCGTTGTCCAGTTCCAGGGGGGGGTAGGGGGGAGGGGTCATGACACCTCCTGCTCACAAGGCGCAAGCCGTCTCGCTCACTCCCACCCGCCCTCCCAACACATCAGTAGCACCCTAGTTCCCCAGTCAAAGAACAATCCAAGGTGGTCGCGGGGCGCCCGTGCATGCTCCAGGTTTGGAAGCAAAGTGCATGTTGCATGGTAAGTTGACAGGGTTTGTTGGCCTGCGCGCAGCAAGCCACATGAGCCCCCCCCCCGTCCCCGTCAAAAATCAATGCAACGTGGTCTCGGGGCGCCGGTGCATGCTTCAGACTTGGAGGCAACGTGTATGTGCTAGTGTTGTTTTGACAGGGATTGTCGGCCTGCGCATAGTTGGCAACATGAGGCCACCCTCCTCGTCCTGGTCAAAAGCAATTCAAAGTGGTCGCTGGGCGCCCGCGCATGCTCCAGATTCGGAGACAAAGTGCGTTCTGCACTGTAAGATGAAAGGGGTGGTTGGCTTGCGCGCCGCGAGCAATGTGCGGGCCCCCTGTCGAAAACCAATGCGAAGTGATCGCGGGGTGCCCGCGCATGATCCAGATCCTGCCGCGAAATGCACTTCGTATGGTTTTGTTGCTAGGGATGGCTGGCTTGCGCGCGCCAGGCAGCATGAGGGCTCCCCGCCGTCCCCGTCAAGAAACACTGCACCGTGCTCGCGGGCCCCCGAGCAAGGTCCCCCCTTTGCCGCAAAGTGCATGCCACATGGTCTTTTGATAGGAGTGGCTTGGCATCGCTCGGACGTGTGCATTTTCCTTCGGCGAGGACCATTGAGGAGCATCCTTGATCATTCGGCGAAAAAACCACGCACGAAACCGAAACAAGCACAGGGAATGGACGTCCGAGCGATGGCCAGGGGGGGGGGGGCGGATCGGCATTGGCCCTGGTTGGCTGCCGCTCCCCTGGGGGGGCGGGGCGCTCAACAACGGGAAACATCGGGGGAACGCAAGACCCGAGTAAGCCGGAACTCGGGTTTGCCGACGTTTTTTTGACGAGCGCGTCCTGGATTTTGACGGTCCAGTTTTCGTGGGATGTTTGCAGCGGGAGCTCGCGTCAAATTTCAGATTGGGCCTCGTCATCTTTATGAGGGCCCCGTCGGGCCAACCCGAGTCCCCCGTACCCGAGTCTTACGTCTCCCCGACAACAGTGGTCGATTTCTCCCTAACGGGGAGGAAGGGGGGGTGGAAGAGGCACCGCTCTAAACCACCTACGGCCTGAGGGGTTGGTGGGATTGAGCATCCTTGGCGTTGGTATAGCTACGGTCGGGAACTTTGCGCTGGTGTGCCGCGCCGCCGGTTCTGGCCCACCGCGATTTCACGCTACATTCTGAGCACATCCTGGTCCCTACTCTGGGTTTCTCAAAAGGCGTGCGGGGGTACACCCCCGACGGAGGTCAACCTCGCCTCGTCATCGCGCCGCGACGGGGGTCGGAGCGCCTTCGGCGCGCGGTGGCTGCCCGCGACGGGGGTCGATGTGGGGCTGTCGGCGGGGGTGACGCCCCCCCGACGCTTATCAAGAAGCTTGGAGTAGGCAACAACGCCCCGAGCGCTTCCCAGCCTGCCACCCCACAGAGTGGAGCGGCACGCTATCGGCTCGCACGGCATAGCGAGTCGCCGGGGCCGCCGCTGCGACGCGCACGCTGGCGAAGCAAAAATTCCCGACCGTAGATCGGTGGTCGAGAAACGCCCCTGGCGCGCTCCGCGCGCCAGGCAGGGGGGGGGCCCAGCGCCGATCCAAGATATCTTCAGGAGGGAGCAGGACACACAGACACAATTACTCGTCGATTCCCAGAAAATCTTGGAAAATATGGGAAATGGGGGGAAGACGAAAACCCAGAAAATGTAGGACAACATGGGGAATCCTGTTGGTTGTGTGTATTTATTTGTGTGTCCCAGGGCCCCTTCATTCTTGTGTTGTTCCAGAAAATGTTCCAGAAGTTGCTCCCTGAGGGGTCCGGCCACAAACAGGGGAGTAGGGGGAGGGGGAAGGCTACTTAGAAGCACCCCTGCTTTTCAGAAGGCGTGGCCCTTGTCTATAGAGGTTGGGCCGGCGCCTTCTTAGAAGCAGCCTCCTTCTGCGAAGTTCCCCCCCCTACAGTCAATCCGCATATGAAGGATGGGCAACATTCCCAAGGGTACCCTTGCATCCTTGCCTCCTCGGCCCATCCTTGGCCACCTTCGTCGGCCGCGCCCCGCTCGAGAACCTTTGACATGGGCGTCCAAGGCCCTTGCATCCTCGCCGCGCACCCTTCTGATACGGGCCGACCGTGCCCCCCACTGCGCGCCGCCACGAGGTCCTGGCTGCACCTCCTCCTCCTGGGCCTCTACGCGTCCACGGTGCACGCGCTGCTGCAGGGCGGCGTGGCGCTGCTTGTCCGGGCGCTCGGTGTCCTCTGCGAGGCCGCCGCCGTGGCGGTGCAGCCCCGCATCTGCGCCGACGGGGTGCTCGAGCCTCCCGCCATTGTGGGGGTTCGGTGCCCAGAGATGCGACGGTCCAACAAAAATTGGAGCGGCGGGTGTTTTAGCCCTTTTCGGCATATGTGGGCCTTCGCCGGGCCTCGGGACCATCAGAAAACGACTGAGGACGAAAAACCTGCCCTGGGGAAGTGGTCCAGACCTCTGGGGCCCACGCATCGAACAAATTGGAGCACCGAGATGTCTGAGTACATGGCATCAGCGTGCAGAGGACGCGCCAAGAACCCCAAAGAGTACCTCCAAGAGGCCTCCGAGAGGTACGAATCCTTGGTTTCCTGAGGTTGTTGCTCCTTGATTCTAGCATGCTTTCTTCGTCTTCAGAGCATCCGCGCCGGCAAAGGGGCGCCTATAGTCGCTCCTGTTGCAGCCCAATGCGGCCCAAGAGGGCCCCGTGATGCCCCAACATGGTTCGGCCACGCGCAGAGGGGGGTAGGGGAAGGGGGGAAGGCTTCATCGAAGCACACCTGCTTCTTAGAAGGCGCGGGCCTTATCTGCAGATGCAGGGACGGCGCCTTCTGAGGAGCAGCCTCCTTCCAGGGAGCCTCCCCCCCTCCCCCATACCCCCTTGCGCGCGCCGCCAAAGCATGATCGATGATTGGGGAGGGGACCAAGGGGGAATCGATCGACGGATTCTCCCTTTACCTGTCATCGATCGAATTGGGATTGTTTGGATTGCCCCATGCTTTGCCCGTTGGGATCGCACGGAATCGATCGATGGGTTTGGGGAATCTTAGGTTAGGAGAAGAGGGAGGTGGAGGAGGAGGAGGAGGGGGAGGAGGAGGAGGAGGATGCGGCGGAGGAGGAGGAGGAGGAAGGGGAGAAGGTGGAGGAGGAGGAGGAGGAGGAGGAGGAAGAGGAGAAGAAGGAGGAGGAGGGGGAGGCGGAGAGGAAGGGGAGCGGGAGGAGGAGTGGACAGGAGGAGGAGGAGGAGGAGGAGAAGGACAAGCGTAAACCAAATCATCATCAACGATGTTGGAATCAACCCTACCTGCAAGCTCCCTCTTCATAGACGCCTATCACGGTTCATTCCCATTGAGGGAACTGCCTCCTTGGAAGACACGCTTGAAGACCCTGAAGCATACCAAGACATGGTTTTCGGGATTTCAACACAACGGGTCACCCTGACTGCTGCGCCTTGACGATCTGGAACCGTGCCAGAACGCCATTCTTGGGAATTCGACACCGCGAATCAACAGAACTGTTGCACCCGCTAATCCTGAATCCTTCCGAAGCGCCATGTTTGGTACGTTGACCATGGGGATCCGTGAAGCTCTTCCAAGTTACACAAGCGAATGCGCGCGGCGATTAGGCTGAAGCCACATTTTGAAAAAGAGCCGCCCTCAATCCGTGAAGCTCTTGCCAATCTTTACAACGAATGTGCGCGGCGCTAGGGCGAGAGCCACATTTTGAAAACGACCAGCCCTCAATCCGTGAAGCTCTTGCCATTTTCTATCACGAACGCGCGCGGAGCTAAAGCGAGAGCAACATTTTCAAAACTACCCGCCTTCAACCCGTGAAACCCTTCAATAGTTTAGAACGTGTGTTCGCGGCGCTAAGGCAAGAGCCACATTTTGAAAACCACCCGCCTCCGTGAAACTCTTGCGCTGTTTTACAACAAATGCGCGGCGCTGAAGCGAGAGCAACATTTAAAAAAACACCCGCCCTCCATCTGTGAAGCTGCCTGCAAAGGTTGCGCGATTCCTTTTGAGACGGAGGAGCTGCGCATGTGCCCGTGGGGCAGCCGGCATCGCTACAGCTGGCTTTGCTTGGGATGCGTCTCTGCGAAGGCGGCCCCCGACGATGACATTCGTCTTATGGCCCCTCGTGCCCAGGACGTCCACGTCCAGGAGGCGCGCACGGCGTTGGCTTCGGCGGCCGCCAGCCAGAACAACGACGGCCAGGGGCACGAGCAGGAGCAGGAGCAGTGCAACGCTCCGGTGATGCATCCGGCCTGGGACGAGACGACCCTTCCTGACCGGGCCTGGTGGCAGCATTTGGCGTGGCAGTCAGCCCTACGCGCGGGGGTCCCCACATTTGTGCAAGTTCCAGACAGGTTCCGCGGTGCGGTGACGCATGCGAGACGCAAGGCGCTGGAGGTGCTCGAAGAGGCGGGCCAACACGGGGATGCCACACCAGAGTGGAAAATGCTTCTGCTGTTCGACTTGGTGCTGTTCGCTCGGCCCCGGGGGGTGGGCCCGACGTGCGCAGAGCTACTGGAAGAGCGGCTGGCGTTATGGTGGGGCGGACAGTGGGCTCAGCTGTGGGCTTCGGCCACGAACGGCCCACCCCCGCGAGCGCCACCAAGGAAGACAACCAACAAGCAGAAAGCACACCGGGTGCACACTTTGGCTGCGGCCGGGGAGGAATCCCGCGCGCCGGCGGCAGCAGTGCAGGCCGAACTGGCGCCGCGCACGGCTGACACGCTGGAGAAACTGCGGGTGAGCTTCCCGCCAGACGAGCCCGGAGACGGCGCCGGCGCGGCGCCGCGCCCTGCCCCGCCCCCCGCGCCGCCCAGCCCCGAGCTCAGAGAGGAGGCGGAGGAGGAGGTGCGCAAACTACTGCGGCGCCCTCCCCGGCTGGCGGCGCCGGGCCTGCTGGGGACGCGGCTGGAACACCTGGGGGCGAGCGACGGCGAGACGGCGCGGCTGCTCGCCCGGGCTGCCGCGAGGGTCGCCTTCGGGGAGCTGCCGCGGGAGGTCCTCGAGGCGCTGCGCACGGGGGAGCTCGTGGCGCTCGCGAAGGGCGCCGGCGAGGTCAGACCCCTGCTGGTGGGCGCCACGCTCCGCCGCCTGGGGCTGCGCGCGCTGGCGCGGGCGCGGAAGGCCCACCTGACTGAGGCTGCCGGGAAGCACCAGTACGGCGTCGGGCGCAAGGGCGGCGCGAACGTGCTGGTAAAGAGCTTGCAGGCCCTCGCGGAGGCCCGGCCGAACGCGACGTTCATCAAGGTGGACGTCAAGGCCGCGTTCCAACGGATGCGCCGCGGCCCCGCTTTCGAGGCCTTGGACGAAGCTGTCCCCGAGGTGGCGGCGGCCCTGAGGGCCTGGTACCCAGGCCCCGCAGAGCACTACTGGCGCACGGCCGACGGGCGCTTCGAAACGGTCTGGAGCCGGCGCGGGTTCGATCAGGGAGACCCCTTGTCTCCGGCGGCGTTCGCCGTGGGGCAGCGGCGCGCCCTTGAGCAGCTCTTGCACAGGCCGCAGCAGCTGGACCCAGCCGCCCGCCTGTACTCCTACCTCGACGACTCCTACTTGGTGGTGCGGGCGGGCCTCGGCGCCCTCACGCTGACGGGCCTCCGCGAGGTGCTCGCGCCGCTGGGGCTGGAGCTGAACGACGACAAAACGCTGGTCTGGTCCCCGGCGGGAGTCCAGGCTGTCGAGGCCGAGCTCGCGAGCAAGTGCGCGCCCGTGCTGCCAGTCCTCGGCGCGCAGCTCCGGGCTCCAGGAGACGCCGACGGGACGGCGCTCCCTCTCGGCGGGCAGGGCTGCGGGCTGGGCGGGGCCACGGCGCGCCTCGAGAAGCTCTGGGCCAACCTGGAGCGGCTGCTGCAAGGGGGGCTCAAACGGCAGGCGGCGGGCGCGCTGCTCAACACCTACGCCGGAAACGCCAGCCAGCACAACTTGCAGCTGGCCTTGGCCGCGGGGGAGGAGACCTTCCGCTACGACGCCGCGCTGCGGGGCTGCTGGGAGAGGCTGCTGGGGCGGCCGCTCGGGCCAGAGGCGTGCGAGCTGCTAGGCCTGCCGGCGAAACTCGGAGGGGCCGGTGCGCAGTGGGCGGCCACGAGGCGGGCGCCCGCCTGCTGGGCGGCGTGGACGCAGGCGGCGGAGGAGGTGCGGGACGACCTCGGTGTCTCAGGAGTCTCCACTCTTGCAGACATGCTGGCGGCGCTGCCGCAGGCCGCAGCCGCGCTCGAGGCGACCCGGGCTGAGCTGGCGCGCCAGGGCGCGGACCCGGAGCCAGCGGCGCCCCTGGAGGCCTTGCTGGGACACCCGACAAAGCAGAAGACCCTGGTTGCTATGGTGCATAAGAGAACCCACGCTGCTGCGAAGCAGCGAATGCACCACTGCAGCCAGGCGTTGCTGCTGTCCGCGGGAGGGCCCGGGGCCGGCGCCTACCTCCAGTACCCCGCGGAGCTGGCCTGCACGCTAGAGGACCCGCACTGGCAGACGGCGACCCGCAGCCGCGTCCAGCTGCCGCGGCCGGAGTGCTCCACTGACGAGCTCGCGCGAGCGGCGGCGACGTGCCAGAACCTGACGGCTGGCGGGGTGCCGTGCCAAGCGCCGCTGGATACGGCGGGATTCCACGCGGCCGTGTGTCAGCCGGGCGGAGGCGTCGTCAAGCGGCACGCGGGCGTGGCGCGCGCCGCGGGCAGCCTCGCTGGCAGGTGGTGCCACTGCTCGCCGCAGTACGAACAGCGGGTGCCCACCTGGGACAGGGCCCGCGCGCCGCGGCGGGGGCAGGCGCCGGTCCTGGAGCGGGCTATCTTGGACGTCGAGTGTGACGCCTCGACGGCCGGCGCTGGCTGGACGTGACTGTCCGCCACCCAGCGGCAGGCGACGAGCCCGCCGTGCGCGCGGCGGCAAGGCGCGCAGGCGAGGCAGCCCGCCGGGCCGAGCGCGCCAAACACACCCGCTACCCAGGCGAGCGCCTCACGGCGTTCGCCGTGGAGACAGGCGGCCGGCTCGGCGGGGAGGCGCGGGCTTGGCTGCTGGCGCTGGCCAGGGAGCTCCCGGAGGACTCGCAGCAGGAAGAACTTGCGCGAGCCTACCGGGTGCTCAGCTGCGCGCTGCAGCGGGAGCTGGCCCACCAGCTGCGGCGCGCGGCCGGGCTGCGCTGAGGCTGCACCGGGGCCGCGGCCTAGGCCTGCGGCGTGCTGCTGGGCGCTGCGCCAGGCGGCTGCTGCTGCGCGGGGCTGAGGCGCTGCGCTGCTGGGCACTGCAGCTGGGCTGGCGCGGGGCGCCGGGCCGCGGCCGGCGGCGGGGCGGCGGGGCGCGCTCTGGCTCGGGCGCTGCGCGGCCGGCAGGGCGGGCGTGAGCTGCTGGGCGGGGAGGCTACGCCGGGCGCTCGGAGGAGCAGGAGGGCGAGCTGGGCAGGGGCGCCAGGCTGCTGCCGGAGCTGCTCGGGCCGCGGGCGGCGGCAGGCGGGCGCGGGGCAGGCGCGGCGGCTGCTGCCGGCGGCGCGGCAGGCGCCCGGCGCAAGCCGGCGGCGGGGCGACGGCTGGTGGCGCGGCGGCCCGCGGCGGCGGCGCGGGGGCGTCCGGGGCGGCTGCGGCGCTGCTGGGCCGAGCGGCGCCTGGCGGTGGGACCGCGCTGGTGCTGTGCTTCCTGGAGGAGGTGTGGCGCCTGGCGGTGGGACCGCAGGCCGCAGGCCAGGCGGCCGCGCGGCGGGCGGGCTTCGCGGTCGGACACGCGCCCCGCGGCCGGAGGAGGAGGAGGAGGAGGAGGAGGAGGAGGAGGAGGGGGAGGGAGGAGGAGGAGGGAGGAGGAGGAGGAGGAGGAGGAGGAGGAGGAGGAGGAGGAGGAGGAGGGAGGGGAGGGGAGGGGGGGGGGAGGTGGAGGAGGGGGGGAGGGGACCGAAGGGTCAGTGAACAAGGGCTACAGGAAGGGCAGCCCAGGGCTCCGGGGGTCGAATGGGCTGCAGGCAAGGTGCCCTATAGGTGCCCCTTCAAGGCGACGAGATATATATATATCCACTGCTCCTGGCCAGGTCCATCCTGGGCCCAGGAGCGGTGTATACGCCCTCCTGGCTTGGCTAGGGAGGCATATACACCGCTCCTGGGCCCAGGATGGACCTGGCCAGGAGCAGTGATTATGTATAGAGCTCGTCGCCCTACACTTGGGGCCCCTAAAGGCGCACGAAAACCAGTCTCCACTCCTCGCAGGTGATTTCTCGCCCCCAGTTCCCGATGCTTCGACTACAAATGAGGCCGCTCCGAAAGGAGGGGGACTCGGGGATGCGCCCCCATGGGGCCCTTCGGCTGCACTCCTGTCGAGGGTGTACGCCCCCCTTCGCAGATCCCTGGGTTGGGCCCCAAAATGTTTGGCTGATTCGAAAACCCCACGAAGTCGGGGATAGGTGTCAATCTATCCTTGATCCCCCTCCGGACATCCGGCCGCTCCAATTTTGTTCGATGCGTGGGCCGTCGAGGTCTGGACCACCTTCCCAGTGCTGGTTGTTCGTCCTGACTTGTTCCCAACCATCCTGTGGTGTTGGGTCCTCGTTTTGAAGAGACAGCGCCCGCGTCCTCACTCCTCTCCTCCTCCCCCCCTCCTCCCCCTCCTCCCTCCTCCCTCCTCCCTCTCATCATCATCATCATCGTCATCGCCATCATCATCGTCATCGTCATCATCATCAGCACCAACATGGTCGTCATCATCACCATCACCTTCCGCATGCTTCTATTTCGGCACACCCATCACACGGTTCGTGGCCCCGTAGGGAGCTCCACCGAAGCCCCCAGTGGCAGGGTTCGCATGGCGGCCCCGCACCATTTTGGCGCACCCCTCACACGGTTCGTGGCCCTATAGGGAGCTCCACCGAAGGCCCCAGTGGCAGGGTTCGCATGGCGGCCCCGCCCCATTTTGGCGCACCCCTCACACGGTTCGTGACCCCATAGGGAGCTCCACCGAAGGCCCCAGTGGCAGGGTTCGCATGGCGGCCCCGCCTCATTTTCGCGCACCCCTCACACGGTTCGTGGCCCCATAGGGAGCTCCACCGAAGGCCCCAGTGGCAGGGTTCGCATGGCGGCCCCGCCCCATTTTGGCGCACCCCTCACACGGTTCGTGGCCCCATAGGGAGCTCCACCGAAGGCCCCAGTGGCAGGGTTCGCATGGCGGCCCCGCCTCATTTTTGGCGCACCCCTCACACGGTTCGTGGCCCCATAGGGAGCTCCACCGAAGGGCTTCAGTGGCAGGGTTCGCATGGCGGCCCCGCCCCATTTGGCGCACCCCTCACACGGTTCGTGGCCCCATAGGGAGCTCCACCGAAGGCCCCAGTGGCAGGGTTCGCATGGCGGCCCCGCCCATTTTGGCGCACCCCTCACACGGTTCGTGGCCCCATAGGGAGCTCCACCGAAGGCCCCAGTGGCAGGGTTCGCATGGCGGCCCCGCCTCATTTTGGCGCACCCCTCACACGGTTCGTGGCCCCATAGGGAGCTCCACCGAAGGCCCCAGTGGCAGGGTTCGCATGGCGGCCCCGCCCCATTTTGGCGCACCCCTCACACGGTTCGTGGCAGGGAGCTTGGCAGGGTTCGCATGGCGGCCCCGCCCCATTTTGGCGCACCCCTCACACGGTTCGTGGCCCCATAGGGAGCTCCACCGAAGGCCCCAGGGGCAGGGTTCGCATGGCGGCCCCGCCTCATTTGTGGCGCACCCCTCACACGGTTCGTGGCCCCATAGGGAGCTCCACCGAAGGCCCCAGTGTTCGCATGGCGGGTTGGCGCTCACACGGTTCGTGGCCCCATAGGGAGCTCCACCGAAGGCCCCAGTGGCAGGGTTCGCATGGCACCCCTCACACGGCCCCGCCCCATATTGGCGCACCCCTCACACGGTTCGTGGCCCCGTAGGGACATAGGGAGTTCCACCGAAGGCCTCAGTGGCAGGGTTCGCATGGCGGCCCCGCCCCAGTTTGGCGCACCCCTCACACGGTTCGTGGCCACATTGGGAATTCTTTTTGCTTCGTCCCACCTGCCCTGCGGTATTCACGTTTGCATATGGTTGGGTCCTTCGCCAGGATAATGTTTTTATGGTCCCGAGCCCCGGCGAGGACCCCCCGGAGGCCGAAAACGGCCAAAAGCCCGCCCTGCCAATCTTTGTTGGAGCGCCAGATCCCTGGAGGACCGTTTTACTGCACACATCCCCCCTCAAGCACTACCCCGAGGTGCGGCGGAGATACCGCTGGGCGCTCCTGGCCGCGCTGGCGCTCCTGGCCTTCGGGCTCGGGTCGAGCGTCCGGTTCCTCGCCTGCCAGGCGTCGGGCAGAAGACGCAGCAGTACACGTGTATATGTACAGTGTATATGTAGATCTGTACTGCTGATGCCGCTGCCCTGCCCTCGTCGCCACGGCTGGATTCGCATCGGAGTTCTGGTCACAACGCACCCCTGGAGAGGTCCGGGGAGTAGCGGTACATCGGTACCTTTTGGTTTCCCCCCAGCTGCGCTGACATTCGCGCGCAAGCTTCCGGCGTCGGGCCGCGCGTGGGCACCCTCGTCTCCAGGGCGGCGTGCCACGCTGCCAGCCCGCTGAGCTGCGGAGTAGGGCCGCTGTGCCAGCGAGAGTTCCGTGGATTACGGCCGGACCGAGGTATAAGATCGAGGTCGGTTTGGGGAGGGTGCCCCAAGGTTTTTCGCGCTTGTTGGATGTTGTTGTGCAGCTTGGGGAGGGTGCCCTCGAAGGTTCTCCAGTTTGGCCGGGCGGAGGGTCCCATGTTCTCGAAGGATGTACTTCTGTCCTCGGTCCAGCCGTGGCGGTATCGGTGCCTTGTCTGCCTCTCCGAGGTCGACGACTTCTACATCCGGCCGCGCCGCCCGAAGCTGTGGACGCTATGCCTGCTGGGGAGGTGCTGGGACTTCGGCGGCTGAGCTGGTCGGGAGCCTTCGCCACGGACGCCGATCCGATACGCCCCCCTCTCCCTCCATCCCCTTGTCCTCCCCCTCCCTTCCCTTGCCCTCCCTCCCCCCTCCCCCTCGAGATCCAGTTTCTGCACACCCCGATCGACAATGTACAACCGAGATAGGTCACTTTACAACCAGCGAAGGGTCGCATTCCTTGGTTTTCCTTTGAGAACGACCACTTTACAACCAGAACGGCCCACTTTACAACCACAACGACCACTCTACAACCGAGACGGGGCTCTTTGCAACCAGAACGGCCACTTTACAACCAGTCTTCAGAAGCGCGCGCGTGCTCTGCAGGGGCTTCTGGAGTTTCCGAGCGCCTGGGTGCTCTGCAGAGGCGTCTGGGCGCCTGAGCGCTTTGCAGAGGAGCGCCTGAGCGCCTCAGCGCTTTGCAGAGGAGCGCCTCAGCGCCTGAGCGCTTTGCAGAGGAGCGCCTGAGCGTTCTGCAGAGGCTTATGAGCGCCTGAGTGCTCTACAGAGGCTCGTGAGCGCCTGAGCGTTCTGCAGAGGCTGATGAGCGCCAGAGCGCTCTGCAGAGGTTTCTGAGCGCCTGAGCGCTCTGCGGAGGGTCATGAGCGCCTGAGCGTTCTGCAGGGGCTTCTGAGCGCCTGAGCGTTCTGCAGAAACTTCTGAGCGCCTGAGCGTTCTGCAGTGGCTTCTGAGCGCCTGGGCGTTTTGCAGAGGCTTCTGAGGGCTTGGTCGCTTTGCAGAGGCTTCCGAGCGCCTGAGCGTTCTGAAGCCGATGCAAAGCGAGAACAACAAGTGCCTGCGATACAAAAATGTACGACTTGACACCCGACTGCATTGGCTAGAACGTAAACGCCGAATTCTTGGCCGCATCCCGCCCACCTGGGTACGCATGCTTCCGCAACTGCGCAAACATACGGTCTTGCGATTGCCAGACGATGGGGCGCGAGGGAAAACATGGTCTATGATGCAAAGTACACAACTTGACACCCACATGCATTGGTTAGGTTTTGTTACACACGTTTCCTTGGCCGCATTCCTGCCCTCCTCGGTACGCATGCTTCCGCGAATGCGAGAACATGTTGTATTGCTAATACCAGACGAATTAAACGCGAGGGCGAAACTTGTTTGTCATGCCGAAACAACACATTGGCATCCACAACCACTTGCCCGAATGTTTCCATCGATTTCTTGGCCACGTTTCCGCCCTCCTTGGCACGCATGCTCGCACGTGCGAAACTGTACGGTTTTCGTGGTTGCCAGACAATGACGCGCGGGGTAAAGCATGGAAGATGACACACGCAACCGCAATTTGACATCCACATGTAGATTGGATTTAACCAACGAGTTCGTTTCCACAGTTCTGCCCTCTTGGGTACGCATGCGACCGCGAATGCGAACACATGCGGTTTTGCTGTTGCCAAGCGATGAGGCGCGAGGACGAAAGTTGCTTGTGGGGCCAAACGCACACATTGAAATCCACATGTGCCGGCTAGATCGTTAGCGGCGACTTCCTGGCTACAGTTCCGCCCTCCCGGGCACGCATGCTTCCGCGACTTCTGAAAACACCCTGTTTTCGCGATGGCCAAACGATGAGGCAAACGTGGTTGATGATGGAAAAACACCAGTTGCAATCCACATGTACTGGCTTGAAGTGTACCATTGGTTTCTCGGCCACATTTCCACTTACCTGGGTACGCATGCTTCCGCACGTGCCAGGCGCTGAGGCGCGAGGGCAATATGTTGACGAGGCAATCAATAAAACCCGCATGTCTTTGCAAGAAGTTTACGAACTTCTTGTCCACTCTCCTGGGAGCGCGACTGTTCCTCCGCGTGCGAACGCTTACTGTTCTCTCCTTTAGAAGATGCAGGATTTTCAGGCAGAGGATATGAGCCCCCAAAAAAACAAATGTAGATTTAAGGCATGGATGTGACAAACTTCAACCGCTCAGGCCTGTCACCAGCCTGTAGCGGGAGTGTCTCTAATGGATTTCAACTGGGTTCCAATAGTTTGTTTGGGATACCACAATAAATAACAATAGGACGCCAATCGGGGCACAACATGAGTCAAAGGCGGCAGGTTTTTATAGAGTGTTGGGTTCTGATGGGGTCCCAGTAGTATGCCCGTATGGATCGAAAAGGAAGGATTCCGATTGGATTCCAATGCGATGCCCTTTGAATTCGCCGACACGTTTCTGATGGGATTCCAAGAAAGACGGTTCCTACTGCTTTCGAATGAGAACCCACAAGAATACCCACCGGGCTTCCATATAGTACCCTAGGCGCGTTCCCCGCAGCATTCCACTTCAATAGGAAGTTCCCCATCGGATTCCCATAGGACACCTGTAGGCCCCATATCGAGGAATCCTGTTGGATACCAATGAACTTCATCTAGTGCCAACAGGATCCCCGTGGGAAGGGTGCCAATAGGATTCCATTGGGATTCCTTTCTGGATCCCCTCAGGAATCCGCCATTTCGCAGATTCTCGTTTCAGACGGGTCACTTTACAACCAACGCGCTTCAGAGAGCGAAGTGTCTCCCTTACGTGGGCCCACGGAGATTCGGTAATTGAAGAGCATGTGTCGCTTATGTGCGTTTTCTCGCCTGGTTGTAAAGTGGCCTTCCTGGTTGTAAGGTGCCCTTCTGGGAAAACCCATGCTGGTTGTAAAGTGCCCCATCTGGTTGTAAACTGGCAGCTCTGGTTGCAATGTGACCCACATGCAGCCCTCCCCCTCCACCCCCCCGCTCCCCGCCCGCGCCCTCCCCACGACGAGAGAGGGTTACCAGCAACAAGGAGGAGGAAGAGGAGATGCAGGAGGAGGACAAAGACGGCGAGGATGAGGATGAGGACCGGGAGGTCGGAGGGGATGGTGATGGTGATGGTGATGGTGACGATGATGTTGATGATATTGTTGATGATGATGATGATGATGATGATGATGATGATGATGATGATGATGATGATGATGATGCTGACGCTGCTGATGATAGTGGTGATGATTCGGATGATGATGGGGGCGAGGAGGAGGAGCGAGAAAAGGAGGGGGACGACGTTGGAGATAATGGCGATGGTGTTGATGATGCTGATGCTGATGCTGTCGATGATGATGATGATGGTGATGATGATGATGCTGATTATGGTGATTGTGGTGGTGATGGTGGTGGTGATGATGTTGCTGCTGATGATGATGGAGATGGAGACAGTGATGTTGGTGATGATGGTGATGATGGTTATAATCGTCATGGTGATGGTGATCATGATCATGCTGATGGTGACAGTGATGGTGATGGCGGTGATGGTGATTGCAATCGAGGTTTTCTTGATGATGGTAATAACGATGATGATGATGATGATGATGGTGGTGGTGATGATGATGATGATGATGATGATGATGATGGGGACGATGATTATAACTGGTGGTGATGATGATGCTGATGTTGGATACTGATGTTGATGCTGATGCTCATGCTGACGCTGACGATGCAGCGTTTGTTGGTGCTGGTGATGATAATGGTGACAGTGGCGGCGATGGTGCTGATGTCGATGATGTTGTTGATGTTGATGTTGATGTTGATGCTGATGGCCGTTGTTATTATGATGATGGTGACGATGACGACGGCGATGGCGATCACGATGATGTTGTGATTTGAGAATGGTAAGTGCGATGATGCTAATAGTGTTGTTGGTGATGCCGATGAGGATGATGGTGGTGATGGTGGTGATGACGATTGTGATGGTGTCGGTGCTGATGATGTTGATGCTGGTGATTCTGATGCTGGTGATGAGGATGGTGATGGTGACGTGGATGACGATGCTGACGATACGGATGAATGTGATGATGATTGAAACGACGAAAATGGGGATAATGATGTTCATGCTGATCATGAGGAAGATGATGATGATGGTGATGATGACGTGGACGATACTGACGATGATGATGATGATGACGATGCTGCTGATGCTGATGCTGATGGCCATGATGGTGATGATGATGTTGTTTGTGATGATGATGGTGATGACGATTATGATGATGATGATGATGACGATAGTAATGATGATGATGATGATGATGATGATGATGATGATGATGATGATGATGATGATGATGGGGATGAGGAGGAGGAGGAGGAGGAGGAGGAGGAGGAGGAGGAGGATGGGGCATGTGAGGGTGGAGGATAAGGAATGCATCGGAGGAGGAGGACGAGGACGAAGAGCAAGGAAGCAAGCAATCAAGCAAGCAGAGGGCTATGGACCCACAGCTTCCCACGAGCGCGAGAGGGGCGAGGCGGGGGGGAGGATGAGCAGCGGAGACGAAGAAATGGGGGGGAGGGGGAGGAAGTTGGAGGGAGGAGGAGGAGGGAGGAGGAGGACGAGGAAGAGGCTGGGAAGGGAAGAGGAGAAAGAGGAGGAGGAAGAGGAGGTTTGAGGGAGAAGGTGGAGGGACGATGATGATCATGATGATGCTGCTGCTGATGCTGATGATGATGTTGATGCTGATTTTGATGATGATGATATTGATGGTGATGATGATGACGATGATGATGATGGAGATGATGATGATGATGCTGATGATGATGATGCTGATGATGATGCAGCTGATGTTGATGATGTTGATGATTTTGATGATGATGATGATGATGATGATGATGATGATGATATTGATGATGATGACGATGATGATGATGGAGATGATGATGATGATGCTGATGATGATGATGCTGATGATGATGCAGCTGATGTTGATGATGTTGATGATTTTGATGATGATGATGATGATGATGCTGATGATGATGATGCTGATGATGATGATGATGATGACGATGATGATGATGATGATGATGATGATGATGATGATGATGATGATGATGATGATGATGATGATGATGATGATGATGATGATGATGATGATGCTGATGATGATGATGATGAGGATGATGATGATGATGATGAGGAGGAGGAGGAGGAGGAGGAGGAGGAGGAGGAGGAGGAGGAAGGAGAAGGTGGCGGAGGAGGAGGAGGAGAAGGAAACGGAGGCGGCGGAGGTGGAGGAGGTGGAGGAGGTGGAGGTGGTGGTGGAGGTGGAGGGAGGAGGGAGGCGGGCGGAGGAGGAAGAATGGGTCGGAGTGGATCGATGGCCTTCCCGAGGGTCTCTCGGCTGCCCAGCGGTGCTCCGGCGGTAGGGGGGCGCGCTGCCGCGGCGCCCTCACCGCGGCGGCCCTCGTTCAGCGGGAGATGCGGCGAGCTCGAGGCGTTCTGGATTCTGGAGAGGGCCTGGGCGTCGAGGGGTCAAGACTCGGGGGCGGCAAAGAGCGGGGTGATGACTAGGGGGTGGTGGATATCATGGCGGGGGCCGTGATATCGCCCCAGATTTCATCTCGCCTCTCCTTATATCAATACGTCCCTGGGCCCCCCCTTGGGTCGCGCACGTGCCGCCATTCATAATTTGCCCCACCCCCTCTTGGACGCCCCCCTCCTGGCCGCCCCCAAGACTCGGAGGGCGGGCGGATGGGGAGGCCGATGACGTGACGTGGCGCGGAGAGCGGCTTCGGGCGCGGGGCCCGCGGCCCTCGGGGCCGCCGTGCGAAGGCCAGGTCGTCGTCGTCGTCGTCGTCGTCGTCGTCGTCGTCGTCGTCGTCGTCGTCGTCGGTATTCGACGATGTTCGATGAAGGAGCGCCGGTGCTGGCGCGCGGGGAGGCGCCCAGGGCGACTTCCGACGCGGGGCCCGCGGCCCTCGAAGCCAGCGCGAAGCATGACGTGACCAGGGGGGCGGTCAGGGGCAGCGATAGGGGGAGGCAGGCAGAGGGTCAAGCAGTGGCGAAGAGTCCTGGCTCGCCTATAGCCCGACCGAAGAAAATTCTAAGAAGATATTGTGGTTCCCACGAGATGTTTTTAGAACATTTCTGGCCGATATTGTTTTGTTAAACCCATCGGGCTTATGTTCTGAGAACATTGTTTTTGCTCTTAGCACATTTCTGGGTTCTAAGAACATGTCGTGGTAGGCCTATAGGAATGCCAGGACGGTCGGTCCCTGCTCAACAGGGGGGGACGCATCGACCCCCAATCGCCCATTGAGCGCTGATAGGGGCGTGATAGCCCCACATCGCCCCACACCGCCCCGGAACGGGCGGATTTGCCATCGGGGGCCTGTCGCCGATCCATGGGCGATGTATCTCCGATTCCAGGTCGATGACATGACTTTTTTCCCGTCGGCAGCGAGGCGGGACGATCCGCCCCAGCGTGGCAGCGATGCAGGGGCACGACAAAGCGGATCGGCCGGCATGCAGGAGGAGGGCAAATGAGGGAAAAGGAAGGAACGGGCGGCCGCGAGGAAGGAGGGCAGGGCGAGCACTCAGAGGCGGAAGACTTCCGCCATGAGCAGCTGGGGCGGCCCGCGGGCGGCGGGGACGACGTAGCAGTCGATTACCAGCCTGGAACATATCCCTATCCCTATGCTGGGCACCTCCTCATCACGATGCCAATCTTGGGGATTCCCTTATTTGTTTGAGGGCGACTCCCTAAGATCGTCGTCGCCTTTTGGCGTGTCAATCTTAGGGATAGGGGTACGTTCGAGGCTGGTACGTCGAGGCGCTCCGAGCATCTAGGTGGGAGGACCTGATCGCGGCCGACGCTCGCCGTGGCCAGGTGAGCCCCGTGCGCTCCTTCTTCAGCGCTCCGTCTGGCAGTGCCATGGCTGTACCAGGGGGGTGGCGAGGGCCCTCCCCCTCGTCCACAATTACTCAATATGAGTACTACTCTCCCTCTTCCCCCGATGGCGGCCTGAAAGTAGCCGACCCCCCCCCGCGTCATGCTTTTTTACACACAGGATTCCCGGGAGTTGGGTTTTCGCTTGCATTTTTGTTCAAAATGCTGCTCTCGCCGAGGCGCCGGCCTCATTTTCGGGCCCCGCTCGTTCCGAATCGTGCTCCCGCTGCAGCGCTGACCTCATTTCCGTGCTTCCGCTCGTTCCGAATCGTGCTCCCGCTGCAGCGCTGGCCTCATTTCCCGTGCCATGCGCACACGCGCACACGCGCACACGCGCACACGCGCACACACACACACACACACACACCACCACACCACCACACCCACCAGCACCAGCACCACCACCAGCACCAGCACCAGCACCAGCACCAGCACCAGCACCAGCACCAGCACCCACCACCACCACCACCACCACAACCACAACCACGCACACACGCACGCACGCACGCACGCGCACCACCACCCACTAGTCCGCGGATAGAGAAAATCAGCGCCATGGTAAGGGATGGGAGGGAGGGGTAGGACGTCAGATATGACGCGCGCGCACCTAGCTTGTCCCCCTCCCCCCCCCTCCCCCTCCCCCTCTCTCCCCCTCCCCCTCCCCCTCCCCCTCCCCCTCTGGGGGGGGGACGAGGCGGGTAACTCGGGCGATCGCAAACATGCATCAAGGGGGGGGATTAGCGACGGGTTTCTTTTCCAGTAGAAATCGCGGATTCTCGCCGCTGGACGAGGCGGCACGGGCCGCATGTTGGAGAGGGCACTTCCCCCGATCCATGGATTTGGCGACCGCGCGCCAAATCCATGGGTCGCTAGTCCATGTTGGCGCGCCCGCGAGTAACGTGCGCTATTGCGAATGGTAGAAACAATTATTCATGCCGTGCAGAGCCGTGCGGCGGAGTGCAGAGCAAAGCAGCGCAGGGAGGGCAGCCCCTCCTCTCTGTCCCCTCGGTCGTAGAGGGTCGAGGTCCGAGGATTGAGGGTCGAGGGTCGAGGATCGAGGATCGAGGATCGAGGGTCAAGGGTTGAGGACCGAGGACCGAGGACCGAGGATCGAAGATCGAGGGTCGAGGGACGAGACGCACGAGAATAACGCTGGCAGCACGGCAACATGGACGAGACTGGTGAGGAGGGCGAAACGGCCGCCACGGAGGGCCAGGAGGGGGAGGACGAGACGGGCGAGGAGGGCGAGACGGCTGAGGCCGTCAAGACCCAGACATCAGCCGACATATTTTGTTCAATCCGCGGCCCCAGAGGTCCCGACCCCTTCCCTCGGGGGAGGTTCTTCGTCCCAGATCCATGTCTGATGCTTCTCGTGCCCGACCTGGAGGCCGAAACAGATGAGAAACGGGCGGGTTGAACAAATCATATCCTCGGAGGTCTGGGTACGGAGGAGGATCATTGGTCCTGAACACACCCTTACTTGGGGTCAGCCAGGGTGAAAAGGGCCGCCCGCGGGATTGGGCAGTTTCCGCTGTTCCCGATCAGCTTGCCGCGCGCGCGCTGGTTCAGTGCCCGGGCGTCAAGGTGCATCGACACGCTCAATGGTTGGCTGTTTAGCTGCAGCAGCACGCGCTGATTTTTTCGACGGCGTCTGGGGGCACATGGGGTGCGATCGCGGTTGAGAACCGCATCGGGGTGGCGGCGCCTGCCCCGTTCGAAAAACAAAGCTCCCCTCCCGATCCTGCCGACCACTGCGTCTGAGCTGAGCTTGCCCACAGGAGCGACGTTGCAATCCCGCGCTCCCGGGGAGGCCGCAGCGGCCGCGTTGGGGAGGTCTCTATGGGGCAAAACATACGCCCGAGAGCGATGTCGGCAAAATGCCACCTCGCCTAAATGCGGGTATGTTCCCCGGGGGTACCGCCGACGCGGCGTCGACGTAGTACCCCTCGGCACATACCCGGACCTAGGTGACCGCACCTAGCCTTCGGAACCGCTCTGCCTCTGCATCGAGCAATGGCGATTTCCTGATTGTCCCCCGCTGACATCAGCGCCAGAATAGTTTGCATTCGCCCCGAATGCGTCTTGAATCTGTGCCGTGATAGGCGCATCTCCAAACGAAGTGGTCTTATTCGACAGCGACCAACGCAGAGCCGGCCATTCCGCCGATTTGACAGCACGTGCACTCGGCACCAATGGGCGCCTGGGGAAAGCAGCGTCTTGTAACGTGCAATCGGCCGTCGCTTCTACACTTGTGCAGCCGCTTTTGGCTGCGATTTGTCGTCCTCCCCGCCCTTTGCCACCCTGCCTAGGTAAGGGTAGGGTTGTCTTTCGCGATCGAGAAAAGAAGAGGAGGAGGAGGAGGAGGAGGAGGAGGAGGAGGAGGAGGAAGAGGACGAGGACGAGGACGAGGCGAAGGAGGAGAAGGAGGAGGGGGAAGAGGAGGAGCAGCAGGTGGAGGACGAGGAGGAAGAGGCGACCGCGACGGTCGAGACGGTCGAGACACAGGAGGAGGAGGAGGAGGAGGAGGAGGAAGAGGAGGAGGAGGAGGAGGAGGAGGAGGAGGAGGAGCGCAGGCGAGGCGGCCCGCAGCCGCCCCCTTGCGCGGAGCCTGGGCCGGGAGGCCACCGCGAGATGGCGGCCGCCAGCCCGGGCCCGGGGGCGGTCCCGCACGCGGCCTCGCTCCGCGGCGCCGGCTTGGCGGCCCCCGCCACGGCGCCGCCGCGGGCGCCGCGGCCTTGGTCGTCGCCCTCGTCGGCCGTCGTGCCAGTGGCGGTCGTTCTTCCCCCTGTTCCTCCTCCCCCTTCTCCTACCCCTCCTCCGCCTCCGCCCTCCTCTTCCTCCTCTTCCTCCTCTTCCTCCTCCTCCTCCTCCTCCTCCTCCTCCGCCTCCTCCTCCTCCTGCTCCTCCTCGTTGCAGTCCTGAGGGAAGCGGGTGACGAGGTTGTTCGCCGTGTTCAGGTCCTCGGGGCCTCCACTGACTCCACGGGCCCTGGGACCTGCAGAAAACCGCGAATGAAGGATGGAGAAGAGCTGGTCCTGGGGGGGAGGGCCCCCGGGTCCAGGACCCGTTTCCCTCGGGACCCGTTTCCCCCATGCTCAGGCCGTTCCCGCTGGAGTAGGGCCCCGCGGCGTCGTCGTCGCTGCCGTCGTCGTTGTTATCCTCCTCGTCCTCGTCGGAGTCGGAGTCCTCGCTGCCGCCCGAGTCCGAGGGGTCAGGTCCAGGCAACACGCCCAGGACGCGATCCGCGCGAGGCTCCGTGTCGTCGCGCGCCGCCTGCCCCGACCCGCGGGTCACCCACCCAACCCTCCCCCCTCTTCCCCTTTTGGCTGCGGCCGGCCCCGCATGGCCATGCCCTGAGGGACAACGCCCACACTCCGTCGCCGATGGCCTACAGGACCTCCTGGGTTTTGGCACACGGCGCGGAGTGGCGACTACATCTCAGGGTATGAACACCTACGGATAGCTCAACGGATAGGTCCTGCCATCCTGCCGAATCATCCTCACCTTATGAGTCGCGAGCGCTCCTCCTAGTCCTCGTCGTCGTCGCCGACCTTAGGAGGAGCACCCTGGCTGTGGGGTGGCGCCCGCGTTGGCCTGTCGCCGATGGCTGGCCCCCCGCGGGGGCGCGAGTAGGCCAGGTGGCCGCGCAGCCGCCAGGAAGGTCCAAAGGGGCGGGCCTACCTACCTGCCCTCAGCTTGCGCTTCGGCTGGAAGGACGCGGAGGAGAAGGACGATTGGCAGGAGGAGGAGGAGGAGGAGGAGGAGGAGGAGGAGCAGGGAATAGGGGGGGGAGAGGGGGGTGGAAGGAGGTAGAAGAGGGCAGGGACCGGAGGAGGACAAGGAGGAAGAAAACGGTGGAGTAGGAGGAGGAGGAGGAGGAGGAGGAGGAGGAGGAGGAGGAGGCATCCTCTCTCCTCCTCCTCACGCCTCCCCGACCTCGATCGCGGGTAGACCCCCAGCTCCTCTCCGAACAGTGCCTGCGGGTCGCCACTCAAGGCTTTCGTGAGGCGCGTCGGCTGTGCCTTCCTCCCCGTCCTCCTCCTTTTCCTCCTTCTCCTCCTCCTCGTCGTCGTCCTCCTCCTCCTCCTCCTCCTCGTCGTCGTCGTCCCCGTCCTCCTCCTTCTCCTCCTTCTCCTGCTCCTCGTCGTCGTCCTCCTCCTCCTCCTCCTCCACAACTAAAATTTCTGAATCCTACTCCCCTCTCTCCCCGGACTCTGTCGGCCGTCTCCGCGCATTGCTCTTCACACAGGAGTTCAGCAGTTGTTTTCGCTCTGTACTTCCCAGCGGAGCAGGGTGAAATCCCGTGCCCTCCAGCTTGAGCTAACCTGAAGTGACCTGGCCTGCATTGACCTGAATTGACCTGATTGACCTGGAGGGGCACGTCAAACCGCCCGCGGAAACGCACCCGCAACCGGGCGACACCTTCCAACCCGCCCGCGGGGCGCACACGCCACCGCAGCTGGGCGAGACATTTGAGACCGCCCGTTGGCGCGCGCAACCGCACCCGCGGACGCGCGCAATCGCAGTCGCAACCACAACCAGGCGACACGGTTCAACCCACCCGCGGGCGAGCGCACCCGCACCCGCAACCGCAACCAGGCGACGCGTTTCAGTCCGCCCGCGATCGCGCGCAGCCGCAACCGTAACCAGGCGACGCAGTTCACTTCGCCCGTGGGCGCGCGAAACCTCAAACACAATCGGACGACGCATTTCACCGCGCTCGCGGGCGCGCGCAACCACATCCGAAACCGCAACCGGGCGGCACATTTCAACCCGCCCGCGGGCGCGCGCACCCGCAACCTCAACCAGGCGTCACATTTCAAAATCACATGTGGGTGCGCGCGCCCGCAACCGCAACCACAACCACTTCCACCAGGCGACACATTTCAACACGCCCGCGGGCGCGCGCACCCACAACCGCAACCATGCGTCACATTTCACCTAGTTCGCGGGCCAGCGCAACCGCAATTGCACCCAGGCGATACATGTCTACCCGCCTGCAACCAGGCGATACATTAAATCCACCCGCGGGCGCGCGCAACCGCAACTGCAACCAGGCGACACATTTCAACTCGCCCGCGGGCGCGCGCACCCGCAAGCGCAACCGCAACCAGACGACACATTTGAACCTGCTCGCGGGCGCGCGTAACCGCAACCGCAACCAGGCGACACTTTTCAACCCAACCGCAACCAGGCGATACATTTCAACCCGCCCACTGGGCGAGCGCAACCGCAACCGCAATCGGACAACACATTTCAACTCGCCCGCGGGCGCGCGCACCTGCAACCGCAACCGCAACCAGGCGCCACATTTCAACCCGCCCGCTGTCGCGCGGAACCGCAACCGCAACTAGGCGACACATTTCAAAAACACCTGCGGGCGCGCGCACCCGCTACCGCAACCGCAACCAGGAGACGCATTTCAACCCGCCCGCGGGCGCGCGCACCCGCAGCCGCAACCGCAACCACCTCAACCAGGCGTTACAGTTTCACACGCCCGCGGGCGCGCGCACCCGCAACCGCAGCCAGGCGATACATTTCAACCCTCCCGCGGGCGCGCGCACCCGCAACCGCAACCAGGCGACACATTTCAACCCGCCCGCGGTCGCGCGGAACCGCAACCGCAACCGCACCAAGGCCACACATTGCAATTCGCTCGCGGGCGCTTGCAACCGCAACCAAACATAGACGATACATTTTTAACCGCCCGCGGGCACGCGCACCCACAACCGTCACCAGGCGTTACGTTTCAGCCCGCGGGCGCGCGCAACCGCAACCACAACCACCTCAACCAGGCGACAGATTTCAACCCGCGTGCGCGCGCAACCGCAATTGCAACCGCAACCAGGCGACACATTTCAACCCGCGCCCGGGCTGGCACAACCGCAACCGCATCCATGCGGCACAGTTCAAGCCGCCCGCGGGCGGGCGCGCCCGCAACCGCAGCCGGGCGACACATTTCAGCCC